CACCTTCTAATGTTTTATAACAGGAACAGCACTGAAGAAAATATGTAGTGAAGTAACAAACCTTTGAGCTTTATAAGAATACTAACAATAGCGGGTTACAACGAGTATTGTTATCTAGAGGAGAAGTAACTCGTGGTTAGTCAGGCTTTAAATATCTTATATTGTCACAGGACATTTCTAATCCCTTTATGATATAACTGGGCATTTTCTAATTAAAATAAATATTACTCAAGTTTCATTAAATGTTCAATAAAGTTTAGTGTGTTAGAGAGATTAAAGAATGTGTATCTCACAGTGTAACTTGTACAATAAATACAATATATATATAATGAACCTTAAATATATTAGGAAAAACTTTTACATGTGATCAGTTTTAGAATTTCAATTTATTCTCCTACTATTAGATTTTCCTAACAAAGAGAAAGAGAGAGAACAGGTTATACCGTTGACATGGGATCTCAACAATTTTGCTTAAAATGGAACAATCACCATTCAAATCTTATCGGAGTGTTTGAAAAGTTGTTAGCCCAAGAATCCTTTGTAGATGTCACCCTAACTTGTGAAGGGAAGAAGTTGAAAGCACATCGTATTGTACTGTCCGCTTGTAGCCCATTTTTTGAAAGTTTGTTTGATGAAAATCCATGTAAGCATCCTATAATTGTTTTAAGAGATATGAAGTTTTGTGAACTGAAAGCAATTGTTGACTTCATGTATCACGGAGAGACGAGCGTTTGTCAGGAGCAACTTTCCATTCTGCTGAACACAGCTAAGTTTCTACAAGTTCGAGGTCTTGCAGAGATGTCGGGTCCTTCAACGCACCAGTCCGATGACAAAACTACAGCCGAAACCAGTAATACGACAACATCTCGTCACAAGAGAAGCGTGGGAGATCAAGAAGAACTAAAGATGAAACAGTCATCATCGTTCTCTTCTAATAACAATAGTGAAGTGTTGGTGAATCCTTATCGTCTACCTCATAAGGAAATAACTCGTTCATCTATAGACAAAAGTCCAAGAAGAGAGACATTAGGAGTTCCAGTAGAGGAATTGGATAGAACCTTTACTCTGCAACCAACTGATGATGTGTCTCAACCAACTGATGATGTGTCTCAACCAACTGATTTCTTGGAACAGTCTTTAGTAATTAGAAATGTAAGTAGTAAGTTTGTAACTCAAGATCAACAGTACTGTTTCACTAAGTAGTAAGTTTGTATCTCAAGATCAGTAGTACTGTTTCACTAAGTAGTAAGTTTGTAACTCAAGATCAACAGTACTGTTTCACTAAGTAGTAAGTTTGTAACTCAAT